GTACAGAAGTCATTTCTCTTAAACTTAATAAAGTGAGTAATAAGCGAATGTCACATTTGTAGATTCGTGTTTGTCAGTGAAACAGCTGTAATCATTAAAATAAGAAAAAAAGACTTCACACTCTGACTCAAATGCACTTAAGAGAAATGACTTGATATTTTTCCCTCTCTTTTCTCTATTAAAGCTCAACGTGACCACTGAAAAACAGTCCTGCAGTAGCATTTGTATAACAGTCCATGAAAGTAAACATTAAGCCAAACTACTAGAATTGTGCTTTCTAACTGCTTTTACACCCAATATAATATTGACTTAATAGCAGTCATTCTGGCATAAAGTAGCAATTAAGTAAACTAAATCTTGCATATAGACATCTAAAAGTAAAATCCATAACATAAATTGTTCGCATTTTGTATAAACACAATAACTTCTAATTAAAAAGCAATTGGGGGGTTTAAAAGCATTCCCTATACACAACAAACAGACGATTCTCAAAACACTGTAACTTAAGTAGGTTTCCATTGTATGGCCTATGTGCCTGAAAATATCATGCTCTGAATATTATTTCGTGTCTCTAGCTCACACGCTATTACAAAGAAAATACTGCAAAGCAGTCACATCAGAAATCAAATATGTTTCGCTGCCAACCGACCTGAAGGATAGGTGGTCTGTGAAGAGTAGTGGTTGCAGTCAGTGATGCAGGAGCTGGACCGCCTGGTCGGATGATGGTGCTGGGAGTCACTTGTCTGCTGATGACAGTGTTTCCAGGAGCCTAAGAAGTGGCAAAAAGCAAAAGTTGACGAGCAACATCCAAGTCTATAAAAAGTTAAAATGCATGAATCTTGCAGCTTTACAAGGCTTAAGACCAATAATAAGATCCACAATGCTGCTCCCCATGTACTGCAAGTTATGCAATCCAATAGTCTGCTCAACAGGTGTTTTCATCAACTGTGTGCAGGCTGAACGTGGCCTGAGTCACTAATATGAAGTGAAAGATAATTGTTGTGAAAATGATGTTCTTACCTGGCCTGGAGGCACATTCGTTGGTGTAGTGGCCCGAGGTGCCAGGTCTCCCTGCGCCTGGGCTTGCATCTGGGCCAAAGCCTGCTGAGGAATGATCAGCAGCTGTCCACTGTCACTCCGTACAAGCACCATTCCTGACACCCGTCAAAAAAAGAGAAAAAAGAAAACAGAAAAAAACATACTATAAACATCAACATAATAACAGTAACCAGCCAATAACAAATGAGCAAATTAGTGTGACTTAAAGACTTCAGTGTGCTTCTCGTAGTAAGTCTGAGGGCACGCAAGTACTATATATACTGTCCTGGGATAACATTTTTGCAATCGTTCAGAAAGACAAAAAAGGAACTAAACTGGTGACTCAGTTAAGTGTGAAACAAATGCCTTATCAACTAACTCCACTCACCCGGTGGAAGCTGGATGTTATGGATACTGGGTTGTCCCGGTGTAGCCTGGGGTAGCCTTGGGGCCAGCATCTGAGGTGCCAGAGCTCGGATTCCGCCAGTAGCGGCAGCTGCCGCCGAAGAAGTCCGGGGAACGGTGACGGCGCCGGGAGTGACAGTAGGCTGCGGTGCCGACTCTGTTATTGTTGTGGGTGGCTCTGCCTTGATGATGTGCGTCCCCGCGCTGATGGCCACAGAACTGGAAGGCTGGCCGTTGTTTACAAGCGGAGTTTGCATGCCGATACCTGTCTGACTCGATGCACTGGCCGCCACAGAAGGGCTCGCGCTATTGTTTCCATTCAAAACTGCACCCGACCCAACGGTTTGCATAGGCGTCCTGACGAGTGTCACAGTGGGTCCCGTTGCTTGGCTCACAGGCTGAGCTGAAGCCACAACGCTCTGAGAGTTCATGAGCGGGGTCTGAATTACACTGTTTGAAGAGGGGGGCATTGTGACACCGGCCAGCCCTTTTGACAACACTGGTCCACTGTTGACAGCTGTGACAGATATCGCAGCGCTGCTGCTGCTACCAGTGCCACTTGTCACTATCGTCCCCCTGAGAGTGGCAGCGTTTCCTGAATTGTGAGAGTTCATAGTTTGGCTCCCATTGAAAGTCTGCGCCGAGTATGAGCCCACTTTCCCCTGATGATTAGGGAGAAAAGTTACGCCGCTACTAACGACAGGTGTTTTGCCAGGGTCGTGTCCCGTGTTGGAGTCCGTGCTGGCCGTCGATGCGTCCATAGCTGAACCATGGGGAACTCGTTATGTAGAGACCCCCCGCACTTCAACTTGTTTAACAAGGCGCACAAACAATCTTGAATGCAATGGGGCAAGACTATGTCACAGTCGCTGCTTTTCTCTGTCAGCTCCGGCGATCGCTTTCCGTTTACAGTAGGAGAGACAAAGAGAAAAACAACATTAGTAGTTTACAGCGTACCTGCTTTAGCAATCGTCTTGACCAAGTCCCAGCTGGGCATTAGCTCGAGCTACCCCCTTGTCCCGGAACTATAGCCATGTAATTACCGGCAGCCTCGTCCCTAACCCAGTGGTTGTTGTGACACAAGAACGACAGTTGTGAGTCTACAGAACGTGCAGGATGACAAACTACCGCTTTATTCACCCCTGTGAGTAACAAGAGCTCTTCCAGCGGGCCAGAGCCAACCGCCATCTTCACACTCTTGCGAGCTTGTGAAAAGTGAGGTACTTACCGACTGACGTGCGCTTGCGCACAACAGCTAAAAGTCTCCGAGCAGGGACTTCTGAGAGCTGTGATTGGCTGCTCCACGTGTAAAAGGCGGTACCAATGGCTTCAGCTGTCATTCCAGGGGCTGCTCGAGACGGAACAACATCGTGTCGGAGATAATCTGTTTTCGTCAAATGTTACACTGTCAGCGATGTGTTTACACTAACACGATAACTATTCGGCTGAAGAATTTCAATATGTGTCGTTTGGTAGAAGAATAATTGGGTTTGCGACAAGCTAACAAACCGAATTTAACAGGTTATTCGCGCTCGGTGCGCTGTGCAAGATGGCTGCAGTGTTATAGCCGAGTGAAGTTGCTGTTGTGATGAGGCGTTTGAGGGCGCCCCACCCTGCTTTAGAGAGGAAATGTACAGTGCAGTCAGCCAGTCATGGGATTTAGAACTTCTTTTTTTTTTGTTTTTTTTAAGCGTACCGACTGCTATGAATGCCAGCGAAAGAGCAAAGTTTGTTTTGCTTTCATTTTTGTGTTGAAATAAAGATCCAGACGTGCAGCCGTTTTCCTTTCCAAAAATTATTCAGCAACTTTGGCAGCAAACTCACAATGACTCAAACATGATAATTATTTCCACGTTTCGTGGGGTTTTTTGTTCGTTTTGTTGTTGTTGTTTTTAAGGATTTAAGTTGCTCCAAAATTTAAAAGGGAGAATAATTTATAAAAAATAATATTTTTCCTTTTAATATTTTAATACAGTCTAAATGTTTTATTTTAAATTTTGTTCTGACCTCCAAAAGAAAAAAAAATATTTTTTAATTATTTGTAAGCAGCTGGAGTAATGTTATATAGTTTTATTTATATATTTTTCAGTTTGATAAATTACATGTCATATACAATCACCATTATTAGGAACACCTTGCTTGTTCTGGGTTCGACCCTGTTTTTACCTTCAGAGTTGTCAAATTCTTTGTGGCACAGATTGAACATGGTGCTGGAAACATTCTTCAGGCTTTGGGCCCATATTGATGTAGCATCACAAAGTCACTGCAGATTTGCAGACTCCCACTCCCACTCCCACTCCAGCACATCCCAGATGTCATGTATTGGGTTGGGATCTGGTGACTGTGGAGGCAATCTGAGACCAATGAACCCATTGCAATGTTTAAGAAACTAGTTTGAGATTATTTGAGCTTTAAGCAGTTTCTTATCCTGCTGGAACCATTAGAAGACTATACCTTCAGTATGTGGTCATAAGGGAATGGACATGGTAAATAATGATATTCAGGTAGTCTGTAAAAAACATGCTCAACTGGTACTAAGAGACCCAAAGTGTGCCAAAAAAATATCCCCCACACCAGTACACCAGCAGAAACAACAAGGCTAGATGGATTCATGGTGCAGCAGAAACTGAGCCTCATGCAATGTTTTTTTCCCCAGTTTTTCATTGTCCACTTGTAGTGTGTGTATTCTAGCCTCAGTTTTTTGTTCTTAGTTTACAGGAGTGGCATCCGGAGAAAATAGCCAGTTGGTGGCAGTCCTCTGAGAAAAAACCAAGGCGTTTTTTGGTTTCTTCCTTTTTGTTTTTTTCTCAGAGGACTGCCACCAACTGGCTATTTTCTCTTTGCAGACCATTCCCTGTAAATCCTGGAGATAGTTGTGAGGCAAAATCCCAGATCAGGCCACACTCCAGCACCACCAACCATGCTACGTTCAAAGCCACTTGAACATCAGTAGGTCATTTTGACCATGTTTACATGCCTAAATTAGGGTGCAGCCATGAAATTAGTGGAACAGATGTACCTATCAAAGTGGCCAGTAAGCTGGTATATATTAGTATGTATATCAGGGGTTGGGAACTCCAGGCCTCAAGGGCCGGTGTCCTGCAGGCTTTAGATGTGTCCTTGATCCTTTAAATGGCTAAATTACCTTATCAGCATGTCTTGGAAGTTCTCCAGAGGCCTGGTAATGAACTAATCATTTGATTCAGGTTTGTTGACCCAGGGTGATATCTAAAACCTGCAGGACACTGGCCCTCGAGGCCTGGAGTTCCCCTACCCCTGATGTATATGTTTATTGAAGTTAAACGATCCTGTCCTATACCATAACGACAGCAAAACTAATTTTTAACCACTAGCTGCTGGTGAGTTTGTTAGTGGACACCTCAGATCTGTTTGGGCTTAGCGTTTAACACCAGCGAGCCCGCTTCCAGTTTTACTTAGTTTAACTCCACGCTCTTGCTTTTGTAACTAGCGGTGTATGCCGACTGAGTAAAGAAACTACCCCCGTTTTACACACAGCCGCAAAGAGGTGCAGCCCTGCCAATCTTATAAAGTGCACAGGTGCTTTCCATCATGCACACTGTGGATTAGTTAAGGTGTGTGTGGCGTGGCTTCTCACTCTGGAGGTGAAGTTTGAGCTGAAAGCATATTTTTACTGCAAGCATGAGTGCCGGAGGAACTCCTTACATTGGCAGTAAAATAAGTTTAATATCCAAGGCACAGATTCGTTATGAGGGCATTTTGTCTTCTGTGGACACAGACAGGTCCACAGTTGCTTTAGCAAAAGGTAGGTTGATGCTTTACAGGATGTGGCTCGAGGCTGTGTTTCTCAGTTAAGTCTTAAACAAAATTTGCTGCAGTTTAAAAAACAGCTGACTGGCTTTATGTCATTTCAACATATATTTTCCCAGTTAAATCTTACGGCACTGAAGACCGGCACACAGTTAGACCAGTGCCACCCAAAGATGAAGTTTATGAATTCATAATCTTCAGGGGCAGTGACATAAAAGATATTACTGTGTCTGAGCCACCAAAACCACACCATGGACTTCCTCGGGACCCTGCTATTGTTCAGGTGAGTAGGTGAAGGAGATTCAACTTTTGTTTCCTCACTGTAGATTTATTTGAAATTGATAGAAAGTTTTGCAAAAGTTCATTTTTGTCTTTATTGTTGTGGGATCAGTCATCAATTGGCAGCTCCTCTGCAATGTATCACCCACGCTGGAGTCCTTACAGAGACATGATGCCCACCTACAATCAGCTGGCTGCTAGCTCTCTACTCAACCAGCAGTACAGTGCAGCACTGGGACTAGGTACAGAGTTCTTCTCAATATAACAGAGGATTTGTTATATATTTATGTTTGTGTAAATCTGGGTTTCCAGCATGGAAAATGGTCTTGCACCACTAGGCTTCTTTGTGCTCTCTCAATTCTAGGACTTTCAGGCCAAGCCAGAAGAGCCCCTATGGTTGAACAGGCTGTCCAGACCATGCCTTTGGTCAGTGCTGCACAGAAAAAGGGAAAGACTACAACCCAGCCACAGAACAAACCGCTGGTGCGTCCAGTTCAGCGGTCTGGACAGGCTGGTGCCCAGGTTCAAAAAGAGAATATACCCACCAGTAAGCGGACTTTAACAGTGAACATTTACTTTAACATCAGTTGACTTCATTGCACTGCTTTTAAGTCCACCACGATAAAGAGAAAGATTATCATATATCATTTTAGGACAGGCACCATCTCAGCCAAGTGCTGCCTCAGCTGAAGGCCAAAATACAGGAAACCAGAAACTAAGGCAGAGACAAGGTATCCACATTTAAAATGTGCATTGTGAGCTGCTAATTGCTGAATGGCAGTAGGTTTGCTTGACTCTTTCTGCGTGAAAATTAACTGCAATTATATTTATAAAACCAAATTTTGCCCATCTGCCTGGAAGCATTAAATTACAAAATGAAATGTCTCATACTAGATGAACTGGTTTGAGAACCAGTTTTAACGGGTGTTTTTTTTTTTTTTCTTTTTTTCTCCTTCTCCCCTTCCCCTCTAAATGCTTATTTGCAGGCAGCCGCAGGTCCAGGAACAGAAGCAGAGGCCAACTAATAGTGAAAAACACAAAGGCTTCAACTTTGGCATTTGAGTCAGATTTTGATTTTGAAAGTGCAAATGCTCAGTTTAAAGATCTTACAAAGCAAAATGTTGGTACGTTTTAAAGATCACCAATAAATTCAGTTTTATTTGAGGTGACAGAAACTGAGCTGAGTATATAATTGTATTTTGCAGTTGATAAGAAGTCTTGGGAGACCCAGGACAGCCCTCCTGAACAGGAGGAGGAGCCTCTCAGAGATAAGTACTATGACAAAGCCAAGTGTTTCTTTGATAACGTCTCATCAGACCTAAAGCCCAGGTGACCTAAACAGTTTATTTGTAATATTTGTTTTGTGAAGCTCTGTAATATACTTACTCCCACCCTACAAAAAACTGTGCGTTTTAGGAGGACCACCTGGGCTGAGGAGAAAAAGTTGAACATAGAAACATTTGGAGTTCCTGGTCGCTTCCTGAGAGGCAGAGGATTCAGGGGGCGTGGACGCAGAGGGCTGAACGCCACTGAGCAGCGAGCGCTTCCAAAAGTTGGTAGTGGCAGAGTGTGAAGGATTTCCTTTTGTTAAACTGTTGTACATACTGTAGTTTGACTTGTTTAAGAGGAACCTCCTTGAGTTCAAACCTCTGCAACAGCACTCAGTGAAGGTTTTGTTTTTTGTTTATCCCAAATGCAAATTTGTATTTTGGATCCTTACATGAAATGGGAGAGCAGTTTCTTTTAATCCAGCAACTGTGCACTTAAAAAAAAAAAAAAAGCAATATTGTTACTTAGTTTAAAACATGCGATGTGGAATTTGTGGGGTTTTTTTTTTTGGTTTTTTTGTGTTTGTATAAAGTTACACATACTTGGCTGTTCAAATGTAATCCAAATGGGTTCTGGAAGACCGGTTTGTCAAAATGGACAACTGTAGTTTTGTGGTTTGTTTTGGCTTTTGCTTGTTTTGGGTTAGTTTTCTTTCCCCAGTTTGATATAAAAACTGAAAACGCATGTGGCACAGTAATAAATATGTGATTAACAATATGGCTCTCTTGTAGCATTTCTCTTGCAGAAGTGGTCGCCACAAACCCTTTTTAGTCTCTCCTCCTAATAGAATATAGGAATTGAATGTTCTTCCTCACACTTGGAGCAGAAATGTTTACTACATGTCGTAATATCTTGAGTCCTGTCGTTGTGTTGGGCTGCAAATAGAAGTGAGTTGGTGGCACTTTGGGCCCAGATCTTCCAGTGTGTCCTGATATGAACCACCTTCAGAAATAATGATCCTATTCAGCTCTGAGATGGCATCGGAGTGCCCCTCCTGTGCGTCGATGTGAAGGTCTCTGTCGAAGTCCCCTTTTTTCTCTGGGAGTGAGGTTGTCTTCTGTAAAAGGTGGCACATGCAAATGTGCCAGCAGTAATTATTTTTATTTTTAAATAATGCAGCATAATGGACTAAAGACTACCAACCTGACGAACTGGCATGAGTTCAATGGACTCCGTAGCACAGCTCATGTTTTGTGATTGGAGGACGTTCATGTTGCCCATATCATCAAACTGCATAAAGAAAGTTCACACATTTCTTCATCTCTGATTTCAAAGTAAAAGATTACAAACACAAATCACTGGTGTTCTACCTGATGGCTGCTGTCATAGCCAGTGGTTATTGGAGATTTCCCATCTGACTGAAATTTGAAAAAGAAACCATTTAATATTTTAAGATCCATTTGTAAGACATCCTTGATCTTCTATGGGTGTGTACAACCTGGTTCTGAGGGTAGCTGTGTTGGTAAGACAGGCTTTCCCTTCTTAAATTATCACATGGTGAGTGGATTTCCTGTTGGGAAAGGGTGACAAGACCAGGAGGTGATCTACAGAGGAATCTGTTCACACTTTGAGGGATGCATTTACAAAAGTGCATGCTCCATGGAAGAATGACCTACCTTAGGTTGTGAGTCCTTGGCTGTCATGCATATAGAAGCCAGTTGGTGAAACTTTGGACCCAGCTCTTCCAGTGTGTCCTGAAATGAGCCCTCTTCAGAAATACTGATTGCCTCCAGCTCTGGGATGGTGTCTGAGTCTAGCTCTGAATAGATGTGAAGCTCATCGTCTAGCAAGTCCCCTTCTTTCTCCCGCAGAGAGGTTAGCTTTTGTAAAAAGCGGAACATGTCAAAAGCAAATACAAATATGCCTGAAGTGATTTGTTTTTTAATGGTACATGCTCATACATTTTTATTATTTTTTTTTTTAAATAATGCAGCATAGGAGATGTGACATACTTAAGAGACTACCAACCTGATGAACCTGCATGTCATTAGACTCCGTAGCACAGCTCACGTTTTGTGTTTGGAGGACGTTCATATTGCTCATGTCTTCAAACTGCACACAAAAGGTTCACATTTCTTTGTCTCTGATTTCAAAGTGAAAGATTACAAACACAAATCTCTGGTGTTCTACCTGATGGCTGCTGTCAAAGCCAGTGGTTATTGGAGAATTCCAGTTTGACTGAAATTTAAAGAACAAAAATATATAGTTATTATTTTAAGATCCATTTGTAAGTCATCCTCGATCTTCTGTGGGTGTGTACAACCTGGTTCCCAGTGGAGCTGTATTGGCTGCATTGGCTTTCTCTTCTGAAATCCCCAAAGCGTGGGTGGATGGACCTCTGTGTAAAATCCTGTTCAAAAGGATGACAAGAGCAGGAGGTGATCTATAGAGGATTCTGTTTATCACACTCTCAAGGGATGCTTCACAAAAGTACATGCTCCATGGAAGGATGACCTACCCTAGCTTGTGAGCGTAAACTCCGAAAACTGCCAAAAGTCTGAACTTCATTCATACCCACCCTTGCTGAATATCTCCCATTTCTCATCCCATTCAGTGGAATATGGAAATTAGATTGATTATATTGCTCCATACAAACTGGTTCTTCCATAATAGTGAAAAGAATCTAAAGAAAAAGAAATGGTTTAATGATATTTCCCTTAAAATGGGTCATTGGCATGGATGCAAATGTTTCTAAACAGTGACCTCGCAGTTGTCTCCTGGTGCCTCAGTGTTTGATTGGAGGAGGATTCCTCCTGAACAATCTTCAGGCTCCATAGTAAAAAACTCTCTTTTGGACGAGATGCTGAGAGCCAGCAGCAGCAGAACTGTCAAAGAGCAAAATAAAACTTATACTGGGTTCTTAGAGATGTTAGCACACATATCACAGTTCTCCTACACTAAAGTAAACGATGTGTTTCTTACACAGAAGAAGTAAAAGTGAAGAAATTATTATGCATAAAGCATAAGGGCCAATGTTTATTTCAGATTTCTGGCGAATTCGACAGTTTGGTGTCAAAGTGCAGCCACATGCAGTCACACTGAGGTTGTAAACTTTAAATGCGCCCTGCATGTCGGAGATCTTTAGATGAATTGTGTGTTGACCAGAGGACACACCGGGCTCCTTCACCAGACCAGCTGTGTAACCTTGAAGAAAAGATCACAAAATGATAGGATACTTTAGGAGTTCTGGCTTTTGTGCTTGTTTTTCTGTAATATGTCACTAAATACACGAAGGATGTTTCTACCATAACCAGGATTCAGTCTCCATTTTCCTTCAACATTTCCCAACAGTTCAAAAGTGAAAGGCCCTCCATAAGGTGCTTCATCTGGGTCAAAGGCCTCGATGTTGGTGGTTGTGGGGGCATCAGACACACACACATCCAGGCTGTCCACTGTTAGCTGTGGCACATTGTCATTCTGGTCCCACACATGGATATGTAGTGTAGCTGTTCCTGTCATTGGTGGTATACCTGTCCAAGATGCAAGAAATGTAGCACAAAAAAAGCTGTT